ATGTATGTTTTTTGCCATCATTACTCCTTTTGGGCTGTTCCAATGCAAGTTCCAAAATCTTGTTCCCCTGGTTGTCAACTTCTGTTTCAATTCAAGCTTAATTTTATTGCTGCACAGCTTACACTCATTTGCTCTCATGCTAACATCATCTTTGATCTTAAATAGTTTTTCTTCCTCAATGCACTAGGTGTGTTTATAGGGAACAATTCTCTCCCTGCTTTCAGTTTCCTAAGCTTATGACCACTCTTTAACCTCTCCTAAAACAGACTGTGCATTTCCTGGTCATCAGAACATCCCTTCTTTGCAACAGAATTTAATCAGTATTGCAGACAAGTTCTTACAAGGCCTTTGCAGAATAGTATTGACACCTCACGCCATGCAGTGTAGAACTGCATAGGCCTTTTTCATGGCTTATGGTCATTCACCGGAGTAAATCAAAGTAATTTTTCTCCCCTGCTGTTCCAGCTAGTGAATCTGTTTACTACAGCAGTCTTAAATGCCCAAGCTTGCACTTTGTACTTTTGGAAAGGGAGGTGTGAGGGATGAAAACATAATCTCGGAACAACTTTCCCAGTAGAGCAGAGAGCTTCTGCTGCCTCCTGAAGTATAACGTAGTAGCGCCTGTCAGCTTATTCTCGTCGTGAAGTGAATTAATTCCTCTTTTGGAGTTTGAGTACCTGCTTTCTCAGACACTGTCCTCGCTCTGTTCATGGCTTTGGGCACTTTGAACACTTCCACGAATCCAGCTCTTCCTTAACTCATTCGCTATCATTATTCAAGTAGCTATTAATCAAGCCTTTTTGCTCAGTTTTTCCTTCACTGCGAACAGACCAATAACTGAGCACCACAGGTGAACGTATAAATACACAAATAAATAGGAAACACCCTCTTTCCACATCAAACATCAAGTCAGCCACATGGTAAAGAAATGTAATATTTGATATCCACCAAGTTGCTTACAGCAGCACATACTTCATACACATAAGGGCCCTGAATTACAACTGATGTAGAAGCTTTAATTTTTTGCAGTTCCTAAACTCTCATCCCATCATGGGTGTAGTTTTGCATTTATAATACTGACATAGTCATTATCTTCTAGAACACTGTCATCTGGTGGTAGTTGAAAGTCACAACACATAGATACAAAGCTAAAAATGACAATTAAATCAGGCTAGACAAATGCTCTGATTATTCATTAAGTCCAGGTTTCATATTAAAACTCGTAGGGTTCTAATCACAGTAATATAATTAAAGGATTTATCGTGCATGACTACTTTTCCTTTTCTTGTTCTGCAGCCTGCATATACAATGAGTTGTCACTGTTTTCACTGCACTAACAGATAACATGCTGTCATCTGTATCCTTTGTGCTGAAGGTCAAAATACTTCCAAACTGATTGAAACTATTACCGATATACATACGTATAGTGCACCGTATGACTGCTTTAATAGCAACATTAGTATTTTTTTATTTTACAAGTAGGATTAAAAACTGTGATTATTACAAAATACAACATCCCATAAGGCATCTGCAAAGTACTGTAAGCTCTGGATAGTAACTCCTGTTATTTGATTGGTGCTTCCTTGTGCTTAAGTTGGTCTACAATTACCAATTTATTTTCTAAAGTAATAACCTCAATTGTAAATATTATCCAGTAGGAATAATGGAAGTATTTTGTATTAGACATTATTTTGACAATGCTCTGATAATGATGTAAAGAAAAATTCAAGCATTGCTGGTGGCAAACCTCCTTTCGAAACACAATATGAAACCAACATTAAAAAGTTATCGTAAATGCTACATATGTTATATTGCTTTCTTTTATGTCTTTTCATATTTGCGATGTGGCTGGCTGGCTGCAGAGAACAAGCTGTTAGCAAATTCATACATTTTTCACAAAGTAATTGGAGTTTCGGGTTCGGAGAATACTGAAAGCCACATTCATAATTTATGCCCAAGACTTTCCTGTGACTTCCAGAAAGCTACTATAACTTAAAGATAGCATTTTTTCAAGGAGACTAGACTGGCTGGAGGCCATATGTATGAATACTTAAACCATTATTAGCAACTAAGATAGTAACAATTCTTTAAGTTCAGCTAACAAGCAGCCCTGATACTTGAGTGGGATTACTTCAGTTTACAGTTAAGCACATTGCTCGACAAAGACCATACATTCCTGAGCAACCTGAAATAAGAACTCTGGCATCGTAAACCTATCTAGCTTCTAGCTGCCTCTGTCTCTCTTGCAACAGCTCATGTACGCACGGAACTCAGCACAGTAAGCAGAAAATTATTTGCTCTTTTGTCAGGTTAGTTTTCTGCAGACTCAACACACTGAAACGGCGGAGGGAAAGGTCTGACAAGCACTGTAGCTGGCACAATGCAAGGAATAGGACTGTAGGGATGTGTGGACCACTGTCACTGTCACTAACAATTAGAGCAGTTTAGACTGCTATTAAAACACAGTCTTTTACATTAATGCTCTACTCGCATTCCCATGGAGGTATATTAACAACTGCCACAAATTTATGTGGGAAATGAACTTCCCCCTTGGTAACCTACCATAACCAGTACATGCTAGCAGAAGCGTATTTTTATCCTTCACAGACAATACAAATGTCAAATAATGGTCGTTTGGCATATGGTGTAACTAAGGAAGATAAAAAAAAAAAAGAGGAGCAAATCTTCATTTTCAATTACTACTTTCTCACTTCACATAGAAGCCTACTAAAATCAAATGAACTTTCTGCAGATAAAGTACTATCCAGCTATGTAAGGGATTTTGACACCCAACAGAGGGAAGGAAAACTGGTTATGGTTACAGACAATTCCTCCAGAGTTTGGAGTAATTGGTTTGTATATTGTAATAAAACTTGCTCAGGAATTACAGAATTTAAAGCCTTTTTAGAAGACTTATGATTGTATCTTGCAAAGTTAGCAAAAGTATCTTCAGAATTTGTATACTGTTGCTTAATGTGAGATATCGCTTTATATTATCTAAGCGGCGCTAAGACACGTAGCTGCGCATCACAAAACACAATTTTGTACCAGCTCAAAAGTAAAAAAATTCATTCCTTGTCCATGATCTTTATGAAATGCCACCAGCTTATATATGATAAAATGATACGTACAAATATTACTTCACCTCTTCCTGAAACCCAGTTTAAGCAGCTTTGGGGAACAGGAGATGACTACGCCTACTGGAATTTAAACAATAAAACACCGTGCTGTTGTGAAAAATCCTCTGGAAAATGTCTAATTGCCATGTGATTACCATGTTGAGTTAGTAGCATTACAACTCATGAACCGAGTTCCAATTAATTAATCATCTTACATTTTCTATAATGTAGTTAGTAGGATTTTTAGTATAGGAGAAAACTTATCTTTTATTATAGTCCCTAGTCTCATTCTTTGCTCCATAGCTTTCAATCCTATGAGAAACACGCTTCATAATAAACATAACACACGAACTACCTCAAGCTTTAGATTTTCCAAAGAAATAATATAGCGCTCCTTCTTTTGCGACGGATACATATTATGAAGGAATGAAGAAACCTATATAAATAGGGGGAAAAAACATTAAAGAGAAAAAAAAATAACAGAAGTAAGGAAAGGCAGTGGCAGCTGTAATGGAAGACATGAGAGAAACAGAGAAAAGAAGAAAGACTGCTTACCACATTGATATCTCAACAGATAATCCACCAGGATAATGCTCTGCAAGAGAAGAGGCAGCTGCAAGCTCTGCTTTTTCATCTGATAGCTGCAGGAGCTACTTTCCTTTCAATACACATCTAATCAACAAATTCAGATTTGCATTTAGTGACTTAGATTTTAAATGAGTGTACTTACAGATGCTGAAGGCGAGAAGAGAACGTGTGTGCTCAAGATAGAGTAGCAGACATGAGAAAAATCACAGATTTATTAGGACACCCAAGGGTGTAGTCCTAAGAGGGTTTCCCAGAGCATTCCTCAGGCTAGCAAGTGAGAGAGGCATTGCCTTACTGCTGCATGCAATATTTAGAGAAAACTGACTGAAGTAAAATTGACGGAATTTATGCTTTTTTATGAGCTGCAGTAAGCTTAATTGTCCACTTTTTCTCATTTCTTTGCAGATTGCTATTCAGCGAAGAATAGCAATATTTTTGCCCTCCTAGTCCTGGAGACTCTTTCCTATACCTCTGTTTCCAAGCCCACCTATAGAAAAGAGAATATAAAAATCTTCAAAATACATACATGACTATTATGGCTTGTAGGTTCAGACTAGCTTCTGGAAAGGTGGTTCAAACCAACAGATAGCCATTCCTAACAAGAAATCAATGGACTGCACAACACTGCTGCCATCCAAAGTTTTCATAGTAGTCCTAAGAGGAAGATCCCTACCAGCCTCCTAGTTTATCTGCAGCTAAACAGACCACTGAAAAATTATTTTTTTTTAATACATGTAGCAAAAATTAAGAAAAACTTACTGCAGTTTGTTTGTTGCAGCATTTCTTGCTTACTTTTTCATTCAGTGTTCAGCAAACAATATCCATTTCTAACAGAGTCCATGTTTACTTGTATAAATAACATACCTCAGGTTTACAAATAGAATAGTACTCACAAGTTTTCAGGACAAACCAAAAACATGACTTAATTATAAGCAGATAAATTTTTAATAAAATACAAAAGCAACTTTCGAGCATGCTTTAGTCACAAACTTTCACAAGCCACAATTGGCACATTGCAAAAGTGCATGAAGCTATCGCTAATCACCACGGATTGACAGTGTCATGCAAGGGCTTATACACTCCTATGACTAACATTCTGGCAAGTCAGCTCATTGCATTATTTCACCATACCCCCTCAAGATGAAAAGGATTGCTTTGTAATGGTTTATCCACCCATCCGGAGAACAGCCATTACGGAAGAAAATAGGGGGAAAAAAAAAAAAACAGCACAGAGCTGAATCATCTTCCACTTCCTTAACGTGGAATTAGCTGCATTTTTTTTTCCTAGTATGTTTTTAGCTACAGAAACGAACAGATTAACCCTAACAGCACAGTACAGCACGAAGGCTTGGGCGGACCTTTTCCCTTTTTGACTTTACAACGCACAGGAGCTGCAGTAAGCTGAAGAGCCACGACGATGGGCTCGCTGCCTATGGTCAGCTACTGCAGAGCAGACCAACGGCGCGGGGCGGCTCGCTCCTGCACCCCTGCCCCACGCGGAGTCAAGTGGTCAGAAAACTACTTTCAGACCTCGACCATCAACAAAATAACATTGCCGCGCATTGTTGGCTATCGGTTCTTTCTTTTAAGGAGATGCTGAGGTTACTGCTTTAGTTCCCGTGACAACAGAAACGCCGAGACGCCACTGGGTGCTACCGCGGTTTAAGGATCGCGCTGATGATGAGGTTTAACCCATGACGTTAAGTGGTTTCTGTGGCCCCTAGGACAACGAGCAGCAGTGGAAAGGGAAGTAACCCGGCACAGACGTGGCTTTCCTTGTTGCCAACACCCTGCTTTTTTCCACCTTCCTGACGGACAGAGGTAGCGGACTGCCCCTCCTCCCGGCGGCGGAGGATTAACGCTTGGTGGCCGGGAAGCGCGAGAACAACCAGACCGATAACCGCGATTCGCTGAAATCGGTGGTGCCTGCTGCAGTAACGGAAACGGGAAAGGCCGGAGGGGGAAAGGCGCCGAGGAGATGCGGGCAC